AAATATCTTTTTAAGTTAGCCTAATTAGAAAATATTCTAATGATTATAATATTAATATGATAATGCTGAAGTTTAAAGGCTGAAAGAAAGAACTCGGTACATGTGAAATACTGCAAAAGATATGATGCAATAATATGATGGCGCGTTTTTTCAATCTGCGGCGTAAAAATATATCGGAAGCAGTAACCCGGAAGTCTTGAAAGAGCAATTTTACCACTAGCGCCACCACCCTTAGCTTTACACGATCACCCATCCATAAAATGATATAAAAATGAAGCAACAGCACTACTAATGCTAGACGTGGCGAAAGCCTTCGACCGCGTCTGGCATATAGCACTAATCTCAAAAATGATAAAACAATCACTGCCATATAATATCATTCATATTATAAACTCATACCTGAAAAATAGAACTTTTCAGATAAGGCTAAATAACAAACTATCAGACAAACGCCCAATCAATGCAGGAGTGCCACAGGGCAGCATCTTGGGACCTGTATTATACCTGATCTATACTAGCGACTTTCCGATTACGACAAACAACCCCAACTACATGATTGCGTTCTGCGCAGATGACACGGCGATAGCCACTCGCTCTCTTGACCCAAATCAAGCAGTCAAAAAATTAAATGCCACCCATTGAAAAGTGGTGCGCTTCTAATAAAATATCTATTAACACTGAAAAGTCAAAACTCATGATCATAAGAAAAAAGAAAAGGCATAAACGAATTAAAGACAGAGTTCTCAAATAACGTGCCGATTACTTAGGTCTAACAATCAATGACAAACTGAACTGGAACAGCCTTGGGCCTTACGGGAGTCTGTCTGCACCCAACATGGTTAGGAATAATAAGTCCAATAAAATCGAACGAAGGAAAATTAACTTAGGACAAATCCAGTCAACAACTTATGACGATGATGATGACAATTCTAGTACAGATAGCTATCAGGCCTTGGAAGAATTACTTCCCTCTTATTTCAAAAAATTAGTCTCTAATACCCTAGATTTATTAAATCATTGCTTATTCTTTCAAGATGGATATGATAAAATAGATACCAAATCACAAGAAATCAAACAAAGTACTAATGAACTAATTTCTCTAATACAAAACCAAAAAGCAAATAATAACTTATGCGAATTAGGAAATGAGTTTTAAAAAATCGCAATTAGTGAAATGAAAGACTTTTGGCAAGAACAAAACCTAGAGATAATAGGGTGCTTTATATATAAAAATTCAGACCCCTACCCCTCTAATCAAAGCAATAAAAGTAAAAAGCTCAAAAGAACAAATGAATTCCCACTCATAAATGAAAATATTGAACATGACCAAAATCAAATGGATACATGGGAAATAGAAAATTAAAATGATACGGAAGATAACCAATTCATTAAATCAAAGAAAACGGCGGCACCCCCACCCTTTATAATACAGGATAAAAAATTTGATTGGCTTAATTTTCGTAAAATTATACAAGATAAAGGAATAACAGGTGTCACTGATAAATCTAATGCCGATAACTTCGTAATAAGAGTAAATGACTTAGAAAATAGAAATAGAATAAATACTATTTTTGAAGAAATGAATACAAGCTATCATATTTATAGCTTACCTGAAAAGAGATCAATGAGAGTTGTTCTAAAGGATATTCCAAAAGAAACTTCAGCTGAGGACATTAAAGTGAAATTAATTGAAATTGGACTAACCATAAATAATGTCACTCAGTTAGAACGCAGAAGAAATGGAACCAAAACCAAACTGCCAATTTACATTGTGGATTTACCCAAGTGCGATAGCAATAAAGAAATTTATAAAATTATATATCTCACCGGCTGTAAAATACGAGTAGAAGAATATAAAAAATCTGAACGTCCGACACAATGTCATACATGTCAGAATTTCTTCCATGGACTAACAAATTGTAGACACCCAGCAAGATGCGTAAAGTGCGCAGGTGACCATCTTACAAAGGACTGCCCAAATAACTTTGCTCAAGTAAAATGCTGTAACTGCCAGGGAGAACACCCTTCAAATTATACAAAATGTCCAGTATATGAAAAAATAATCATAAAAATAAAAAGCAATACTAGAAGACAAGTGGAATTTAGAAGACCAAATAAGATTACTGTCTCAAATACTAATAATACCAAGACTTATGCTAGTGTCCTCAAAAATTCCAAACCCGATAATAATACAAACCTAACGGATTTACTCAAACAGGCAATAGAAACATCTCAAAACCTAAACAGCCTAATAGCAAAAGTAATAGAACAAAATACTAATACCCAGAATACTGAGGTAAATGACGAAATAAATAATACCTATAATGGATAAGAAAAACAAAGCCTCATGTCTAAATATAGTACTGTGGAATGCTAATAGCCTAACAAATAAAATGACCGAACTAATGGACTTCATAACTGAATATTCGCCTGATGTCATAGCCGTAACGGAGACCCATGCAAAACCGCATCACAAATTGAAAATACCGAACTACAATAGCTACAGATGCGACCGACTTACCCACTATGGAGGGGGCACTGCCATTTATATTTCTAGAGCCTACAAATCAGCGGTATATAATATTAAGACCACTGATAACATTGATGAAACCTCCGTTATTATTCAGATTGACGATCAATATATCAAATTATCATCTATATACAGCCCACCTGGAAATGAGTTAAAGGAACAGTACTTCAGAAATGGACGCTATTATTACGGGCGATCTGAATGCCAAAAATGTGAACTGGGGCTGCAATGCCAGTAACAAACAAGGTCTCAAACTAAGAAACATCATTAAAACCTAAGGACTTACCTTATACGCCCCAACTGAGCCCACCTATTACCATCACAATCCAGGCTATAAACCTGATATACTGGACATCATGATTACTAACATGAAAACACCCTTTGCTATGACAGTACTGAACGATTTAACCAGTGATCACCTACCAGTCCTAATCTCAACCTGCTTGCCCGAAATAAATAAGAACATTACATCAAAGAGAATTAACTGGACTCTCTATCATAATATACTAATTAAAAAGCTTACACCACAAACGAAACTAAATAGCATCAGTGATATAGATAACTGCATTCAATACCTAACATACAACCTGAATGTTGCACTAACCGATGCTACTGATATCAAGACTAAAAATTATAATAATATGAGACTACCAAATGATATTAAAAATATCCTTAGATATAAAAATAAACTAAAAAAGCGCTACAAAAGAACGCTAAATCCTGAATATAAAAATGAGATTAACAAACTAAATAGAGAGATTAAAAGAAAATGTAATGATCACAGAAATGAAAAGGGGAATGAGAAAGTCTCTACTATCAATAAAAAAGATAATTCTTTATGGAATATGGCAAAAGCCTTCAAAAGAACTCCCCCATCTAATCTACCACTGAATGATAATAAAACAGTGATTTATACTGACTCAGATAAAGTTAATACATTCGCCAGGACTATGAAACAACAATTCTCACTTAATACTGAGCCCTATTACAGTATTAACGATCAATTTGTTAATGACGAATATATTACCATTACTAACTCGCCAATAATAAATAACGACATAGAAAATACTACTGATGATGAAATTATCAATATAATAAAACATCTAAAGAACAGAAAAGCCCCTGGTCATGATTGTATCACTAATGAGATGCTAAAGCATGCACCACCAAGTATTATTCCCACACTAAAGTCACTTTTTAATTACTGCCTCAATAACTCTTATTTTCCAGAACCATGGAAAAGATCAGATATTATTCTCTTCCCAAAACCGGGAAAGGATGCAGCCGATCCAAACAATTATAGACCCATCAGTCTACTACCTACAATTTCAAAAATATTTGAAAAAATTATCAGCTACAGGATCAAAAATTACATGGACGTTATACCACAACAGCAATATGGTTTTAGGCCAAACCTGTCTGCCACAAAGCAAATCATAAACATGTTAGAATACATTAGTAAGGGAAAGTATAAAAAAGAAACGATGGCCCTTATCCTACTCGATGTAGCGAAAGCTTTCGATCGAGTATGGAATAAGGGTCTAATCGTAAAACTCAAATACATGAATTTTCCACCAAATACCATCTTGACTCATACCTAATTGGAAGAGAGTTCCGAATTAAAATGAACAGCACATACTCGGATTATCATACTATTATGGCAGGGGTACCCCAGGGTTCAATACTGAGACCGCAGTATATTTTATATACTGCGGACTTTCCGATCAATGACAACCCAAATGAATTTGTGGCTTTTTACGCGGACGATACTGCAATTATCACCAAATCAATGAATTCCAAGAGGGCAGTAGACCTTTTACAAAATAAACTTAAAGAGGTAGAAGCATGGTGCTCCAAATGGAGAATAAAGCTGCATCCAGACAAAAGTAACCTGATTATTATTAACAACAAAAAATACAAATACAACT